GTGATTTTACTATTAACCTATGAAATACACCGTATTCACCGATACCCATTAAATAACAAGAATTTATTTATATTAGTAATCTAAACGTTACACAGTGATCACAACGATTTTCATAATATAGATAGATTCTGATTATTTTTGTGATGACGACGGTGATAGTGATGATTTAAAAAATATGCGTCAATGTTACAATGGCTGTCATGATATTAGTAAACTTGAGCGTGCTCCTAATCATAATAGATTCATTCTATAATCATTTTTCTCTTTTCTTGTATGTAAATTCTTTTTTTAGCAATTCTTTTTGTCTTTTTGTGTTAAATAGTTTAATTCATTTTATTTTATGTCTGTATCAATTACCTTTGTCATCGTTTGAGTCCTTTCTAAATCGATCAAAAACACTTGAGATCGTATCTACCTGTCCTAGCGGTTTCTTATTATATCAAAAACATTCATTTTTTCTCATCAATAAATACGTATTAAATTTACTTAAATAAAGCAAGACCTTTAACATTCAAATGCATTTATTGCATTATTTAGAAAATTATACAAATTAAGCGTTAAACATTTTTATTTAATAATAAAGTTGTTGGTTGTGTGTAGTGCTCTGAAACAGTCATTTGGGTAGTTGACCGGATCAGTCAATACGTGACCAGAACAAAACCCAAATTTTATTTGCAAAAACCAAGTTTGTACTAAATTTTTATCTGAATTTTACCATATCTAATGCTAACGCTAACGCTAAAGAAACATAATTTATATCTAATATAATACTTTTGATTGCAATTAATTGATACTATTCTTTAGCATTTTATAATTTATATGAAGCTTTATTTCCACAAGAATTTAGACACACGCATAAACAAATACCATCTGTTCCAAGACTATTTTATCATGCATTAGAACTGATATAATATCTAACTACCTCGAATCCGAACAGTGTGATGTTTTTAAAAATCGTGTTACGTGATTGTTTAGGAGCACTAGTTGCGTGACCTATATCTACTCATAAAATCCTTTTAATTTTTACAACGTAGTACTGATATGAAAAGGTACTTATATTACATTCGACATTTTAATGAAATTAATTCTTCTCACGCAATATATAATTCTTTGTATTTTAAAATGTCAAATAACAAAATAACTCGTCAAATATAATTACTCGAACCACAAAGGCTTTTAATAAACTAAAGTTCATTTATTGTCAGAACTCAAAAGATATACTTTGGTTTGGTAATTATTACGAATATGGGATAAAAGTTAAAAAGAATAAAAATAAGGCATTTGCTTATTATCAAAAATCTGTGATACTGTGTATATCATGGTTATTGTTACTATTTAGGAATTGGAACTAAAAATAGATAACAATAAACGTAAAGCATTTGAACATTATCTGAAATCAGCTGAGGCAGGTAATTCTCTGAGAATTTTTAACACTGCTATTTTCTAATTGGTATGTGGAGGAGAGTGCTAACAAGTTCGATAAGTGGACTTTCAAGCCAATTATTTGTTATTATTCATTGTGGTGGCTGAAGCTGAAATCTGGGCTTATTTTTATATGAAATTTTAAAAACTTTTTTGAGGTGTTTTTTTTTAGGGTTGGGTTAGGATTTAAGGTCATAATTTAGTGTTGCTTATATTTTCAAATCGCGACCCCAGATTGCAGCATCAATATATTTGAATTCTTAAAATTAGAAATCCTCAATGCTATTTAATTTTTTAGTAAGTATAGCCGGGAAGCGTAAAATATTTGTCGTAACTGAAGTTGTCACTCGCTGAAGTAACTTCAGTTCACTGAGATTGCGTGCAAGATTTAATTTCCGAGACTCATTTAAGTCAAGTTAAACTTCGGCTTCGGTTAACTGAAGTTGCAACTTCAGTCGGATATTACGACATATTCGAATTAATTTTACCACCATTAGAACCAAAAAATTGACCTTTACAATTTTCCTTAGAAGCACAAAAAACATTTACTTAATAAAAAATTGATTTCACTTTGTGGTGAAGTGGCATTTTGCTTTATTATAATAAATTGCGTCCCTTTTGGAAATGAATTACCAATTAATCTACAGTTTAATATTTGTTTACCATTAACTTTAATAGCCACGATATACATATTATGAGGCTTAAGACGTGGCGTTATTTTATCAATCAAAAAAAAAAAGACATTTTATCCAAACAGTGGTTAGAGATGGAACCGCCTAAATTTTTTCTAATTAACTATTATCAGTGTTAACCACTTAATCTGATATAAATTTGACCCAAAACTATCGGTTAAACGTTTCCAATTCTTAACTATGGCACAGCCTTTAAGGCTTTGTCTTTACCAGAGGCTTTACCTCTTTAACTTATAAAGAATTTGGAAGTTTTGTTTTTATTAAGGTCTCGATTTCACAGGTTTCGTAAGTTTTGACTTTCGGCATTTCACTAAAATAGTTTTGTCTAACAACACTAGCTAAGTTGCTTTGGCGTACGTTGTATTGCAACTGAAGTGTTATATTTTCTTTAAATTTACATGCTCTTTATCATTAATGCACAAAAAATTTGTCGATTGACAATATAAAAATTATCCACAAATTTTTGCAAACTTTTAAAAGCTAATATTACCCATGAATAATTTTCTTTCATTTTTTCAACTTGCAGCAGCACCTTTTGTAGATAAATCTTATTCATCTGATAAAGATTTATACGATGCTCTTATTAACACGCTATTTCCAATTGCTTTTGTCTTTTTGTTTAGTGTAAAAGAAAAACCTAATTCTCTTAGCAATACGTTATTGCCACTACTAGATGACTTATCGTATAGTTTTATCACTTGGGGAATTCCATTAATTGTCTCTTTTGCCTATGAAGACATATTAATTATAAAGATATTTTCAATCA